TCCAAAAGTATATTGTGTAACTAAATTAGTGTTTATTTATTTTAACTTTTAAAAGATCCGCTAACGACGTAGCGGGCCTAAGCTAGTATAAAATAAATTAATTTTCATAAATTCATAATATAAAGTTTTCTCTTAAAGTTTAAAAAATAAACATTTATTGAGAATATATAAATATACACAGTAAACACATTACAAATTTATATAACTTCATTTATTTTTATTTTTTAAAATAAATTGAAAGTTGAAGTGTTTCGTATATTCAAAAATAATAAAATTCATAACTAATAAACCAATTTAAAAAATATTAAATAATATAATAAATATATATATATATATATATATATACTAATAAATTAAATTTCAAATTAAAATAAATAAATATTACAAAATGGTTTCAAAAATGTATGCTAAATTTGAATACGAGGCCGAAAACCTTCTGCAAATTTGCATTAAAATAGATAACACTCCTGAAAATGACCTATCAGATTGTTTAATAGGAATTAAATTAGAATCATTGAATGAAGAATGGCACAATGTACGCAGTGCATTTGAAAGTGTATAGTTTACAGAAAGTGATGAAGATTGCAAATTGACAGCCAGAGATATGTTTGAGTCCGCCAGAGACAATTATCAAACGACAAAGACCAATTTGTTAGAAATTTTAAAAAATAGAAATAGTAAAAATGCAGATGACGCTAGAGGCGATTTAACAGACCCTTCACTATTTCACAATTCAGGTCAGTATCCCCCAAATACCGCATTTAATATGTCGGATATTTGTATTAAAGTTCCACCTTGTGACACTAAAGACTTCTACGGAAGTTATGAAGAATGGCCAACATTTAGAGATATGTTTACGGCCATTTACGGTAACCATCCCAGACTCACCCCAGCTCAAAAACTTTACCATTTGCGTAACAAAACTAAAGGTGAGGCTGGCAGAATTGTAGATCGTTACCCCTTATCGGATCAAAACTTTTCCTTGGCATGGGAAAAATTTAAGATATGAAATTTTATGAAATTTTTAGAGTTTTAGTGGACAACCAGTTAAATATTCTTTTTAACCTTTCGACAGCAAAGGTAGAAAATAGTGAAGAAATCAAAAGAATTCAATCAACAGTTAGCGACTGTCTAGCTATTTTAGAAGCTCATAACGTAAAAGTAGACCAATGGGATCCAATATTAATTTAATTGTGCTCAACAAAACTTCCGGTTGAGACATTAACATTATGGGAACAATCGCTCGAATCCCATTCAGAGCTCCCAAAATGGTCAAAAATGGAAGAATTTTTAAGAAAAAGACATCAAGTTCTAGAGCGAATTGATGCCATTAGAACACAACCTTCATTTACTGTGCATCAAAATTCACAAACGACATACACAAATAGATGTGTTATGTGTGATAAAAACCACATTCTCAAAAATTGCCCGAGATTTAACAATATGGCAGTGAATCAGAGAAATGAATTTGCTCGGGAAAATATCTTGTGTAATAATCGTTTGAAGAGTGGGCATAACTCAAGAGAATGTTTCAGTGCGCTTAGGTGTTTATACTGTAAGAAAAAACACCACTCTAAGCTACATATTGAAAATACATATCAGTTACCTACAAGTACGGACTCAGCAAGAATTGGGTTACAAAGTCCTCCGTCGGGAGCAAATATACAAACAATGTCGCATGTCACGACAGATGACATGTCAAGTACATCCAATTCTTCAGTACAAAGATCAAGGGTAGAATCTAATTTGACAATTAGTGAAGATGATGTTTTGTTACCAACAGCGCTTGTAAAAGTCAAGTGCAATGAAAAAACTTTCACAGCGAGAGCTTTATTAGATACAGGATCTAAAAGATCATTTATAACTAGCAAAATGGCAAACCGAATTGGTGTTGAAACAAGTGAGTCTAATTTTGACATTAGCGGAAGAAGTGGTTCAGTAGTTGCACATAGTAATAAAGCGTGTAACATAAAATTGTGTGGAAATGCAAACAATATGATAAGCGTAAATGCTTTAGTAATACAAAGCCTAACAAGTAAAAATCCCACTGAATCTATTCCAATATATGACGAAAATGAAATACGAGATTTAAAATTTGCAGATCCTGGATTCCTAAAATCAAATGAGGTTGATATGTTAATCGGTAGCGATGTATTACCATCCATAATATTGAATGGAACTAAAACAAATATCTTTGGGAGTATGATAGCTCAAAATTCAATATTTGGGTGGTACATTTATGGTTCTACGACAAAATATAAGAGAATACTAGGCACAGGCAAGCAAATTTCAGAAGAAAAACATAAGCATATTTTTATAAGCCAAAATAAATTTAAAGTGCCACACCAGCAATAAAGTAATTAATTGAATGAGCAAATGTGAGATGTGAAAAACAAGTCCTTTCGTCGGAATTGGTACTTGAAAAGATGTTTGTAATAGTAAAATTATTGAAAGGTATTAAAAAATGATTGTGAGTATTGAAAGAAATGTGATAAAATTTATTCAGAACGAACATTGTGTCGCAGACACATTTACTGTTGGTGATGTAATGGCAAATCAACCGCTTAGAAGAGCTTGTTTAAGTCAAAAGTCACTTGAGGTGACAACAATATAATAAAAGTTGTCCACTAGTGGTGGATAATCATTTGAAAATGTTTGTGAAATTGAATTCCTTAATTTCACTAAAACAGAAATTTTCCACTCGAGGTGGAAGATTATAGTAAAAAGTATGTATAACCACTGGAGGTGGCTAAAGAGGTGATCAAGTTTAATAACATAGATCCCTCGAAGAATGAAATTGGATTAAAAGATGAAATTCACTTGAGGTGATAAGAAATATGTAAAATTTCCACTAGAGGTGGTCGTTTGTCACTAGAGGTGACTAAACGAAAATTTAAAAAAAAATGAATGAAACAACACAAGAGAAATAATTTACATAAATGAAAGTCTATTTTACTAATGTCATATGGTGTATGGCGAATTTTCTTCTTTCATGTATTCTTTGCAGAGAGTTTGAAACTGAGAATGGATGACAAGGGTCCAAGAATGGAAATTGCTATATTGTTGCACCCGTGCAAGGGGCCCGGCATGTTGAGGTTCCATCGATTATGTCATCGATAAGTCTACTTATCGGTACCTCAACTATTACCTATCGTCATCAGAGAATACCAATCGCTAAATAAAAAGAAGCAAGAAAGAAAGCAAAGGAACTTTGCCGCTAAAACATTAAGAATTGTTTTTAAAAGGAATAAAACATTAATTCAGACCGCCAGAGTCTTTAAATTAAACAAGTGTTTTATTTTACCAACCACCACCAGTTCCTAATTAGCAACACGTAAGTATCGCCTGTATACTTGTTGTGTTGTCTAATATTCATATTTATTGTTGTTCGTCTTTGTGCAACAAATAATTTCGGTTCTAAAGCTACTCTGTAGATTTAGAACCCCTACAAGTCCATACGCCTGTATCGGAACTTGTACATGTACAAAGACACATTGTGGTTGAAGGGTATAAAACCAACCTCATATACCCATAATATGGTGGCAAAGACATTAAAGTATAAATTAGGACAATTGATACGTAAACAATTTCCAACAGATGGCTTTTTCTCTGTTACTATATCATAACAACAGAGAGAATAATATTAAACGTTTTTAATGCTATATCTTAAGCTTATTAAATAAAAAAATATATTTTGAGTGCAGATCTCTGATTTTATTTAGATTTTTTAAACACATTATCGCGTATTGGCGTTTTTATTGTTAACATGCCTCTGTTATACTAGATTCCCCCTGGATATTTTTTTATAAACTAGTTTGTCAAAATGCATTTTGTCGAGTCTTTACGGTTTCTATGTCTTTGATGGTGGAGAGTAAAAATATAGGAGGCCAGGATATTGTTCATGCTCTGGAGAAAGTCGGTTAGGATTTTCATTCTATGTGAAAGCATGGACCTGTATCAAAATATTTCTGCATGGAAAATGTGGCCTGAAATATCAAAAACCCGAAAAGGGATCTTTTATTGGGTTTTGTCTACACGCGAACCTTTAAAGAAAATATTAAGCGATGTAACAGTTTTCTAAAAGTAATATCTTGTCTTCATGATAAATGTGTATAACATTTTTGCAACTTCAGAAAATTGGCCTATCTGCGAACTTTTCCGGTAATAATTCTTTTGTGAGAGTAAGGGAGATTCTTCTTCAATAAAATTACAAAAACTAAAAAGACAACATTTTTTACAGAATTTTAAATTTGTTGAAAAATACATGAGTTGACATTCGCATCCATTGTTTTTTGTCGTACTTAATACGCATTGTCAATGTTGAAAATTTTCAACGTAATATTTTGACACGCAATGCGTATTTGGGTAACATTCATTGAAATACATGTATTCAACTTTTGAGGTGAAGTTTTGTGTAAAAAGACTTTGTCTGCGTGCTATTTCAGCAATAAATACTTAGTACTTCCGTTGTGAGAGTAAGAGAGATTCTTCTTCGGACTGTAAAATTACAAAAAGACAACTTTTTGTAAAAATTTTAAAATTTGTTGAAAAATACATGAGTTGTCATTCATATCCATTGTTTTTTGCTTGTACAAAACTTTACTGAGTAAATTTTCCCAGTAAGATTTTTCAATACCCAGTAATACAACATTCAAAATAGCTCTCTCAATTCACATTCTTCCACTGATTTTTTTTTATAACATTTAGTGACATTTTATAAAAATTGTTACAAACTATCGAAATACGCAGACAGACTTAATGTCTACTATTTCTATATATATCCTTCTATTTATGTACATGTACGTCAATGATGTGGTAATTTTAACTACTGAATTACATGGTAATTTGTAAGTAACTGCTGGCATTGTTTACACATGTTAGAACAACGTATAACATCGGTTGTTTTCATTTAGAAATAAATAAAATAAATGTGTCATATATCCTCTAAGTATCCTTTAAAAGTAGTTGATTTTCAGAATTACGTACCGGTACAATTGACAATGACATCGCCCGCTAATACTTCAATATTAATGGGATTCCTACAATTGGTGTCAATGGAAAATGAAATAAGTCTGACTTTGGGTGAAATATTAGAAACTGTCAAAGAGCAGCGAAATTTTCACACACTAATCTATGCCCAGCATGAAGAACAGGCGTGTAATTCGGGTTCAGGAATTTATAATGTGGACAAGGTTACACAGGTGTTAAACACCCCCGTATTTCAGTTAAAAGGAAATACCATCTATTATTTATGGCCAAATTTCAATCGAGAACTTATGGCCATTGTGCCGATTTGTGGTCAGGAAAATGCGGATAAAGAACGGCTAACAACATTGTGGAAAACGTTAAGACGGGTTGTAAAGTCACGATTATTGCTTTTGTGCCGCAATAATGAAACGGAAAACTATATTTGGAATATAATGGAGTTTTGCAAAGATAATAAAGCCGTTAATATGATGGCCATTAAAGAGAATTTTTTGGAATCCCGAGAATTTTATACCCCACAAATATATCCAAATTTTCGGGTGCACAACAAGAAAATCCTGTCATCGAAGGAAACAATTTATTATCCAGATCAGGTGGACAACATGCATGGTTATCCAATTCGTTTGGGAATCAACAAGGACAGTACCAGAGCCTATGTCATGAAGGAAACCAACAATCGATATATTTTAAGTGGACATGTTGGGTCGTTCTTTGAAGTCTTTACGAAAATTCACAATGCATCGGTGGAACTACCCCACTACAGAAATTCCACTGAAGCAAATCATTTCGTGTTAGAAGATTTAGTTAATAATGGCACCTACGATATGTCCATGGAATTGACTTTTAATTTGTATATCAACGATATGGTCTATAGTGACACCTACGACTATATGGATTGGTGTATTATGGTGCCAATGGAAAATCCAGTGCCTGCATATCTATTCTATATAAAAGTTTTTGATGGTGTTTCAATTGGGGTCATTTTCTGCATGGTCTTTGTTTTGACATTTCTTGTGGCCTTGACATACTGGCTAGAGGATGTTGCCGTCTATTGGCTGGATATGTGGTTCAATATTTACATTTTTAATGGTATTTTGGGTCATCCATTCAAAATGGAAACGAACTTTAAAGGTGTTCGGAGTTTCCTGTACTTACTCACCTGTTTCGGAGGCATCATTATAAATTCCAGTTTTGCCACGTATCTTCAGACATTCAAAGCTCATCCACCCACCGAGAAACCGATAACAACTATCGATGACATACGCAGCTCGAAACTGAAATTGGCTGTTTATGCGGAAGAATTCGGCCTACTACTCAAATACAATAATGACACCGGGTATGAGGATATAGCTTATAGGATATCCTCATACAACGATTATTACAAGTTACGTGATAGCTTTGACACTCGTTATGTGTATCCAGTTCCGTCGGCTCAATGGTCTCAATATGAACAGCAACAGAAATTCTTTGCGAAACCAAAATTTCGTCTTTCCGATATGTGTTTCGTTGAACGTCTTGGACTTATGATACCAATGCAAGCCAATTCGCCTTTCGAAGAATCCATTAACTTCATGGTTGGTATTATCAATCAAGCTGGCCTCATCAAATATTGGAAGAGTATGGAATTTTTGGAATCTCTTCAGAGGAAACGTTTACAGTTATTTGATTCCAGCACCGTTAAAACTTTTGAAGTGATGAAATTTGAAGATATCAAACTTTTGGGTTATTTATATGCCATATTAATAGGCTCGTCGTGTCTGTGTTTCATTATAGAAATGTATTGGCCAAGGAGGGGCCGATTAATCTATAGATTATGTGAGATACGAAAAACTTATTTTTGTGATTAATAAAAAATAGTGTGGAATGGAGTTATGAGAAATAAATAGAAATTAAATAATTTGTATTTTCTGTCATAAATATATTTTTGCTTTAAGGTACCCATGAGTTTGTAACACTTCGAAATAATGGTGAAAGATTGTCCTTGAGTTCCTTACGATATATATATATAACACGCATATATTATTATATAATATGTATATATTATAAGTCTGTATGAATGAATTATTTGTACTTTTCGACGTCCTTGGACGAGTTCATTAAGCTACGGTATGGGTGTTCCCGACTCTAACACCCGTTTCCACTACAGTAGGGTCTACGATCCGAAACAACCCGAGTCTTACTCGGCCAACGTCTGTCACCTCAGCCCATTGTGTAAAAGCAATATGGCTGCTATTTCGTCTACTTATGTAGAAGGTGCACTGGTGTCATGGCGAAACACTCCGTTGCAGTTCAGTGGGTTCATTACGCTACTTACAAAAGTGGAATCTATTCTCCATCGACCATTATGTTCAGCGTGAGCTTAGTTCCTTTTTTGTATTATTTTGTTTCTGACACTTCTGTTTCTAGGTTGAATAAGGTTGCAATCTGGATCGGCTGCGTCCAAAGCGATTCTGGTGTCGTGTTGTCAATTCGGCCCAATACGAATGGAAGCAGCTGACGATGTACGGGTAAGATCATTGCCTCCTCGTGTAAATGGTTCACTGGTGTCATAAGGAGACACTTGTCGCAGTACTCAGGGCGGCATACTGACAGGTTTTAATGTTCTTCCACTGCAGATCGCTTATATTCGCGAAACACATTGGTGCCGCATAGCTTACCACCGACCGAGCTATTGCTTTATAGTGTGCCAACAAAGTCTCTTTATCAGCCACCTAAGAGCTGCCTGTAAGCAACTTGAGGACCTTATTCCTTCTTTTCATCTTATCGCAAATAGCGGTGGCTTGCGCGGAAGACTTAAATAAGCTATCGAACGTTGCTCCCAAAATGTTGGGGTAACTTGTGGTCGGAATTAGTACACCATCGACCATAATGTTCAGGAGGAGCTTCATTTCAGCCAACCACGTGGTGAACAGAGTGGCTGTGGATTTAGAGGCGTATAACTCGATATTCCCCAGATGGAAGAACTTTACCCAATCTACTATATACAGACACTTAAAATTTCACAATTGTGATCCATAATGGGATACAACGTCATTATCGTACAATTATACGCATACATTACAATTTAAATGTTGTCCCGTGGCTGTGTACTTTTAGAAAGGTAGAATTTAAACAATTCCGAATATATAACTATTTCCTTTGGTTTTGAACTTCTTGTTTCTGAATTCCACATATGACTGACAACCACAAATATAATTGATTATCCAACGTTTCAAACTAGGCCGGAGGTTGGCTTTCCCTTTGAACAGCTTGGCGTGTTTGAGTGCTCTAATATGACAAAGCACTGAACTGCCGTTTAAAAAAACTCGGGCACATCTTCGGATCAGTCATCCTTCCTTCCGGGATTCGAGAGTGACTTAACCGTTGACCACAATTTAATTGTATGGGTCACTAGATTAAAATTCAGATATATAGATATGTACTGGCAGAGTGATGTAACAATACTTCAAATCTCGACTCCTTTTCGTGTATGAAGGATCATACACCGTTGTAACCACATAAGCTACAGTTCTCTATAGATTATGCGAGATACGGAAAACTTATTTTTGTGATTAATAAAAAATAGTGTGGAATGGAGTTATGAGGAAATAAATAGAAATTAAATAATTTGTATTTTCTGTCATAAATATATTTTTGCTTTAAGGTACCCATGAGTTTGTAACACTTCGAAATAATGGTGAAAGATTGACCTTGAGTTCCTTACCAAATATATATACATATATACATATATATATAACACGCATATATTATTATATAATATGTATATATTATAAGTCTGTATGAATGAATTATTTGTACTTTTCGACGTCCTTGGACGAGTTCATTAAGCTACGGTATGGGTGTTCCCGACTCTAACACCCGTTTCCACTACAGTAGGGTCTACGATCCGAAACAACCCGAGTCTTACTCGGCCAACGTCTGTCACCTCAGCCCATTGTGTAAAAGCAATATGGCTGCTATTTCGTCTACTTATGTAGAAGGTGCACTGGTGTCATGGCGAAACACTCCGTTGCAGTTCAGTGGGTTCATTACGCTACTTACAAAAGTGGAATCTATTCTCCATCGACCATTATGTTCAGCGTGAGCTTAGTTCCTTTTTTGTATTATTTTGTTTCTGACACTTCTGTTTCTAGGTTGAATAAGGTTGCAATCTGGATCGGCTGCGTCCAAAGCGATTCTGGTGTCGTGTTGTCAATTCGGCCCAATACGAATGGAAGCAGCTGACGATGTACGGGTAAGATCATTGCCTCCTCGTGTAAATGGTTCACTGGTGTCATAAGGAGACACTTGTCGCAGTACTCAGGGCGGCATACTGACAGGTTTTAATGTTCTTCCACTGCAGATCGCTTATATTCGCGAAACACATTGGTGCCGCATAGCTTACCACCGACCGAGCTATTGCTTTATAGTGTGCCAACAAAGTCTCTTTATCAGCCACCTAAGAGCTGCCTGTAAGCAACTTGAGGACCTTATTCCTTCTTTTCATCTTATCGCAAATAGCGGTGGCTTGCGCGGAAGTCTTAAATAAGCTATCGAACGTTGCTCCCAAAATGTTGGGGTAACTTGTGGTCGGAATTAGTACACCATCGACCATAATGTTCAGGAGGAGCTTCATTTCAGCCAACCACGTGGTGAACAGAGTGGCTGTGGATTTAGAGGCGTATAACTCGATATTCCCCAGATGGAAGAACTTTACCCAATCTACTATATACAGACACTTAAAATTTCACAATTGTGATCCATAATGGGATACAACGTCATTATCGTACAATTATACGCATACATTACAATTTAAATGTTGTCCCGTGGCTGTGTACTTTTAGAAAGGTAGAATTTAAACAATTCCGAATATATAACTATTTCCTTTGGTTTTGAACTTCTTGTTTCTGAATTCCACATATGACTGACAACCACAAATATAATTGATTATCCAACGTTTCAAACTAGGCCGGAGGTTGGCTTTCCCTTTGAACAGCTTGGCGTGTTTGAGTGCTCTAATATGACAAAGCACTGAACTGCCGTTTAAAAAAACTCGGGCACATCTTCGGATCAGACATCCTTCCTTCCGGGATTCGAGAGTGACTTAACCGTTGACCACAATTTAATTGTATGGGTCACTAGATTAAAATTCAGATATATAGATATGTACTGGCAGAGTGATGTAACAATACTTCAAATCTCGACTCCTTTTCGTGTATGAAGGATCATACACCGTTGTAACCACATAAGCTACAGTTCTCAAAAATAAAAGTACGTTTACCAGTTTTGGTTAACACAGTGGGTTTAAATTGTCAATTCCTTTGAATATATGCCAAATAATTCCTCATAAAGTAGGTTAACCCGGCAAACCCGTATAATTTACCATGTTGAATGTAATTCATATAGCTTCACGTTTTAATATAGCCCCCATACAAAACTACATGGGATTTAAGGATATTTAATGGGTTTTCACATTTTTAAACCCACAACCATGGTGGAGTGTATATTAAATTTGTCATTCCGTTTGAAACACTTCGAAATATTCACCGAAGACCCTACAAAGTATATATTCTTGATATTTAAGACACAGCCCTGAAAATGTGCAGAGAGTTAGTGAGTGACTGACTGACAAATCATCGCCCAGACGAAACGGCTGAAGCTAGAAGCTTGAAATTTTGGGTGTTGGTTGACGTTGGTGTGTAGGCGTGAGATAAGGCTGGGTTTTTGGAAATTCGAACTAGAACGGTACGAAAAGTACTAAAATGTACCACAAATGGTACCTTATGTATTAGGCGAAAGGGAAGAGCTAGAATTCTGAAATTTGGACTGTGAGTCACTGATGAAATGTTAGAATGATGTACAGAAGGATTTTTGGAAATTCGACCTAAAGGTGTACTAAAAGTACTAAATTTAGTTCTTGAAATTTTATATAGAATACAGGTTGGGAAGTGGTGTTGATGTATAGAAATGGTTTAAGATTTTCGTACTTATGTTTTTAAAAAGTACTAAATGGTACTGAATTTGGTACTATTTGCATTTTGTTGAGTGTATATAGATGGAATCCCGAAAATCGGAATATGGACTACTGTTGGAATACAGGATTGAGGTAGCTTTAAAAAACCGTACCTTTGTGTACGAAAAGTACTTAATGGTACTAAATTTGGTGCAAGTTGGATTTCGGTTCATATATAAAGCTGGAGTCTTGAAATTGGGAATTAAAACGACAGTTGCAGTGAAGAATTGAGGTAGTTTTGGAAATTCGCACTTATTGGTACGAAACGTACTAAATCATACTAAATATAGTACAATTTGGATTTTGCTTAAACGGATGAGCTTAAAATCTGAAATTTGGAATTCTGATTACTGTAGAAGATTGAGCTATAGAGACATCTGTGGAAATTCGTATTTGTGTGTACGAAAAGTACTAAACAGCACTAGATATGGTACAATTTGTATTTGGGTGAACGGAGAGAGCTGGAAACCTAAAATTTGTAATAATGGTTGATTTTAGAATATAGAATTAAAATATGGAAGCATAGTACGAATGTGTACTAAATGGTACTATATTTGCTACAACTTGATTAAGTGGATAGAGTTGGACTCCAGAATTTTGGAATTAAAATTACTTTTGAAGTGTAGGATTGACGTAGTTTAATTATAGAAACAAAAAGTAGTAAATGGTACCAATGGATAGGGTTGAGATCCTGAAATTTTGATTAAATTAATATTAATTTTGATTAAATTAATGTTAGGGCTGGGATCCTGAAATATATGATTAAAATTACTGTTGGAGTGTGGTGAACTGATAGAGCTGGAATCATTAAATGTGGACTAAAGGTTATTATTGGAGAACATGACTGGGGTAGTTTTGGAAATTTGTACTTATGGGTACGAAAAGCACAAAATTTGGTACAAATTGGACATTGGTGAACGGGTAGAATTCGAATCCCGAAAGTTCCAACTTAGGTTACTGTGGGAGTGTAGATTTGATAAAGTTTGGAATATGGGTCCGAAAAGTACAGAATGGTACCAAATCTGGTAAAATTTGGTTTTTGATGAACAGACAGAGCTGGAATTCTTAAATTTTGACTTACGATTACTATTTGAAATAAGGATTGAGGTATATTTGGAAATTCGTACTTATGAGTACGAAAAGTACTAAATTTGGACTTTGGTGGAATTAAGATTACCGTTGGAGAGTAAGATTGATGTAGTTTTAGAAATTCTTACTTTTAAGTATGATGGTACTATATTTGGAACCATTTGGATTTGATTGGATCCTGCGATTTGGAATTTATATTACTGTTGAAGTGCAGTATTTAGCTATAGAGAGAACTATGGAAGTCGAATTGATTTGTACGAATAGTAAATAGAATAGCAAATACACTTAATTTCGATTTCGGGAACGGAATCACATTATATGCATAGAATCACATTCTATGTCGATTTATACATGTCCGTCTGTCTGTCCATGTTAAATTGTAAACAAAGTACAGTAAGTATGATCCGAATTGGATGAAAATTGGCATACGTCACATATTTGGCCCAAGGACCCTTTTGAAATTGGGAAAAAATCTGTTCAAATTTACATATAGTTCCCATATATATTTTAGTCCGATTTTAGGTAAATAGTGCACCAAACTCCCTATATATCCTTCGATTTACACGAAATTAGGCACAGCGGGCTAAATTACGTCTAGAACAATGTGTGTTAATCATCGTGAAAATCGGTTTCAATTTAGATATAGCTCCCATATATAACTTCGTCCGATTTAATGTAAATGGTATACCTTATATATCTTTCGACTTGCACGAAATTTTGCATGGAGTACTTTACTACTTTCCTTACTGGTTTTAATCTGTTTAATGGAAGTAAGAGAGATTTCGGAAAATAGTGCTTATGTGTATGAAGAGCACTAAATCGCAAACTATAATACAACAAATTTACAGTATTTACGATACCATATGAAATATTTTTTGTATTCCCTTTCCGCATACGAAGTAGCGGGCACTTTGCTAGTAGCATATATTGGTCCACGTTTTTGATTAGAACCATATAATGGTACCACCACTACTCAGTATTTTGGGGATTTTGGACACGTTTCCATCGAATTAGTTGTAATTTGATATTTTGGGTTCTCATTGAATAACATATATCCGTAGCAAAACTTTTTAACATTGGCCCAAGTTTTAGGGTAGCCTTATATAACGGAACGCACCAGTGTTTGGTTTAGTGATTATGCGCAAATTTTCTAACCAACTTGATATCATTTTTTCCTCATTGCTAGGTTCCCAATACATTCCCACGTTTAAGGGTATACCCGACAATATGGTACCCCCAATATGGTGAAACGTTTTTCAAATTTATAATATTGACCCAAGTCTGTATTTTGAGAATTTGACACACGTTTTCCAACCGCATTGGCTGTCAAAAAATATCAATATTGATCTCATTATACCCTTCACCACACAGTGGTACAGGGTATTATGTCTTTGTGCATATATTTGTAACAGGCAAAAGGAAACGAGATAGACATATAGTTCCTTTTGAGAATATGCATAGAATCACTTTCTGAATCGATTTATACATGTCCGTACGTCTGTGCGTCTGTTGGTGTTAAATTGTAAACAAAGTACAGGTCGCATTTATAATCCTATTTGGATGAAATTCGGCACAGCTCATTTGTTTAGCCCAAGGACGAACTCTATTGAAATTGGGCAAAATCGGTTCAGATTAAGATATATAGCAACAATATATATATATATATATATATATATTCGATTTAAAGTAAATGGTGCACCAAAGACCCTATATATCCTTCGATTTGCACGAAATTTGGCATAACGTACTGAATTAAGCCTAGAGTGATGTCTGCCAAGTTTCGTGAAAATCCACATTTAGATAAAGCTCCCATATATAGTTTCGGCCGATTTCATGTAAATGGTGCACCAAAGTCCACATATATCTTTCGATTTGCACGAAATTTGGCGCAACTTACTGCATTTAGCCCAGAATGATGTGTGCCAAGTTTCGTGAAAATCGGTTGAGATTTAGATACAGCTCCCTTATATTATAGATTAAATTAAATAATTGACGCACCAAGGAACCAATATATGGCTGATAGGAACAAAACGTATTGAAATTAGTATAACCTAACCGGTGACAAGTTTCGTTGAAATCGGTTCATATTTGTATATAGCTTCCATATATATTTTCGACCGATTTTAAGTAAATTGGGCATCAAACTCCTCATGTTTGTCAGATTGACTTCAAATTTTGCACAACGTACAAAATTGAGCATAGAATTAATTACGTAGTTGCGTTTTCTAGAAGTACAGACATAGCCCATCGGATGACCTATTGATATTTGTTTGAAGTCGATTTACATACTTTTGTCCCATTGTATCAAACGAATGACATGTTTATGGATAGATCTAGGTGGTTTCACATTTAGATAAATATCAGATATTTTATTTCATCCAATTTAATGTTAATAGTCCTGTTTAATATACCCATAGTGGTAAAGGGTATCATATAGTCGGCCCGCCCGACTTTACTACTTTCCTTACTGGTTTTTATTATAGCCACATATAATGGTAGATCCACTGTTAGATATTTTGAAAATTCCAATTATCTTCTTCTCACGTATTTTGCGGTTTGTCCAAGGTCCTTTCATAACAAGGGCTTTCTCATAGGGGCCCACATTAATTTTAGATGGTTTGATTTTCATCCTCATGGTGGAGGGTATAAAACGTTCTGCCGGGCCGAACTTAACATCGATTTAACTTGTTTTTATTACAATCCCTCCGACGATTATTTTATTGTACAATATTATCGTCATATTTCTTTTCAATGCTACAGAGTGTTGTCAACTAAACCAACCTATACTCCGTTATGTCCACGTACGGTAAGAGACAATACCCAATTGGGTATTAAATAAACATTTACACATGCTATAAAATGTGGTAACGGTTTGTAATTCACTTAGTATTGAATATTCCCAAAACCAACAGTTTATTTCGTGAAATCGATGGAGTTACAGTTAAAAAATGTATTATGCCGCTAATACTTCGATTATAATGGAATTTCTTCAGCTCATGTCTGTGGAATATGAAATCAGTGTCACTATGGCGGAAATATTAAAGTCGATCAAAGAACAGCGTTTCTATCAAACAATTATCTATATGGGTCATGAGGAAAAATCTTGTAGCTTTGGAACAGGACTTTATAATGTGGATAGAATTTCCCAGGTGATAAACACTCCCATAATTCAATTAAGGGGAAACACAACATTTTATTTGTTACCAACATACAATCGACAGCTATTGGCCATGGTGGCTTTGTGTGGTCGACAAGTCCTGGATGAAACATTACTTCAAACGTTATGGAAGTCGTTGAGGCGTAATGTAAAGTCGCGATTATTGTTACTCTGCCGTACTGATGGAGATGATGATAATTACATTTGGAAAATTATGGAGTTTTGTACGAAAAACAAAGCGGTAAATGTAATGGCCATTAAAGAGGATTTTTGGAAATCCCGAGAATTTTATACAACACAAATATATCCGAAATTTGAGGTGCGCATTGAAAAATTCTTGCCTTCGAATGGAACTATTTTCTATCCAGATCATGTGATGAATATGTATGGGTATCCAATACGTTTGGGAATCAACAAGGACGGCACGAAGGCTTATGTTGTAGGGGAACTAGGCAATAGCTATATTTTAAGTGGCCATGTTGGAGCGTTCTTCACAGTTTTCTCGCGAATCCACAATGCTTCCATAGATTTACCGCACTACAATAAAACAGCTGAGACAACTCTTGTGCTGTTGACGCAGTTAGTTGAGAATGGGACCTATGATATGTCTCTCGAATTGGCAATAAATATGTATGTCAACGATATGGTGTACAGTAACACCTATGATTTTTTGGATTGGTGCTTAATGGTGCCAATGGAGAAACCAATTCCGGCCTATCTTTTCTACATTAACATTTTTGATGGTTTCTTAATTGCAGTTATTTTTTGCAGTGCCTTTTGTGTGGCTTTCTGTGTGGCCTTGACTTACTGGTTACGCGGCGATGCAGTCTGTTGGTTAGATGTTATATTTAATATCTACATTTATAATGGCATTTTGGGCCATCCGTTCCATATGGAAAAGAAATTTGCAGGAGTGCGTAGCTTTCTCTATCTACTAATAGGCATGAGCGGTCTCATTATAAATACTACGTTCGTGACACATCTGCAAACCTTCAAAGCTCATCCACCCACAGAGAAGCCCATAACTACCTTAGATGACTTTCGCAATTCAAAGTTGAAAATCGCTATTTATACCGAGGAGTTTATGCTACTACAAAAATACAATGCCACCAGTGCCTATGAAGAATATGCCCATTTAGTACCCTCATATCGCGATTATCATAGATTGCGCGATAGCTATGACAATCGCTTTGCCTATCCCGTACCATCGGCTCAATGGTCTCAATACGAACAACAACAACAGTTCTTTTCCAAACCAAAATATCGTTTATCCGATATATGTTTTGTTCGTAAGATTGGTGTCATGATACCGATGCAATCGAATTCACCCTATGAAGATGCCATTAACAAATTGATTGGCATTGTCAATCAAGCCGGATTAATACAATACTGGAAGACTCTTGAATTTTTGGAAGCTCTTCAAAGGAATCGTATGAATTTGATTGATGTCAGTGCGGTCAATACTTATGAAGTACTGAAAATGGAGGATATAAAACTGCTGGGTTATCTGTTTATCATTATGATTTGTTCGTCATTTTATTGTTTTCTAATAGAATTGGCGTGGTCGAAGAGGGAGTGCATAATTAAGAAATTAAGGATATTTATGAAGCGATATAGAACTTACAAAGACTTGTTATTCAGTAAAAAATAAATATACATTAGAAATATATATACATACAAACACTGTTATTATCAATTTAATTACTATAGTGTGGAAACCAGATGAATTGTAGGTATATCTAACTTCGATTTTATTTTGACGCCATTATCGAAAAAAAATTTCGAAAATTAGGGTTACCGTTATATGGACGAATGGGGTAGGAAAATTTGCTACTCACTCAGAAATAAGAAATAAATATTTCAGATATAGACATAGCTCATATATTGTTTTAAAGTTTTTTTTTTATAGATTTCGGAATGACATGTGTGTGGGTTTGTTTAAATTGGTTCATATATCTATGTAGATTACAAATTAAATATCGTTCGATTCCATGTCAATGGCCCTCCAAAGATGCTTAGTTCTACTGAGAGGATATTTTACATATGAGCATATCTGTGTGTAGCCAACTTGGTGAAGGTTGTGATATTGCCAGTCCCGTCTGACTTCAAACTTTTCTTACTTGTTTCCTTTGTTAAGCGTAAATTTCTCAAAAACTATTAAATATAAATATATAGTTTGTTCTGAGACTTGAAGTGGATTTTGACGTAGAATATTTTATTCTTTGACATTATATACCTAAAATCAATCAATCAATTTCATCAATTTCATGTTACTTTAATGCACTTAGTCGAAAAAATACTGGGAAAGGCCTTGACAAAAAAAAAATACAAAAACATTTTGAATATTTGGTTCAAAATGTATGACTATATATTCGGTATATACATTATATATACAGATTTCTCTTGTTCAGTGACTTATGCTAAAAATTGATGGAGAATATTTTTGTCCCTTATACTATCCTTCTAAAACGACACCTTGTGGGAAAAATGGGTAAAAGCTAGTAATAAGTACAATATTAACCCTAAAATGAGTTTTTGTTTTTTAAGATTATTGACGTTTAGGCTGATTTTTGAGTTTTAGTCTATTCTGAGAATTATAGTAAAACTGTATGGCGAACATTTCTGTAGAATATTTTGAGCAGCTTTAACCCCGTTTTGAATGAGTTTTCAATCACTCCTGGAAAAAGGAACCGAAAAGACCCCTTTAATGAGACGTTTGAGGGTTAAAGTTGCATTCCAAAATATTCCTCGATATTTTGTCAGTAATATTGCCGAAGACACTATATACCTAAAATGCAAGGATTTCAAGAAATCATAATTCGAAAATTATCAAAATTCTTGAAAAGGAAGAATATTGCCCCGCCTTTTTAGGTTACATCCCGACGTAAACTTTCAAAACGCCATCTTTTTTTAGTCCCTCTTTCATAATCTGTTGGAATTTCTCGGTAATTATTTTTTGTGTTGCACAGTGTTATTTAAAAACCAATATACATGAACTCGGTCGAATATATGAAAAGTGAACCGATTTTCACGAAAACTAACACACATCATTCTAGACTTAATTTAGTACGCTATGCCAAATTTAGTGCAAATCTAAAGATATATAGGGTCATCTTTTCTATACTTAACTCATTTGGCCCTTGGACCAAATAAATGACATGTGCCAAATTTCATCCAATTCTAAATACTTTAATAATTTTTAAATACCTTATATTTGTATAAGTGTTGACATAGGACGTACACTTAAATTACTTCTGTCGCACCCTTTTAAAAATTAGAAAGATGCTATTGAATGCTTTACCGCCAACGAAAAAAATTATTATTTACTAATAATGAATTTTATATTAATGCTTTTGCTTTTGAAAGTGAATAACGACCCGAATTAAAACTCAAAAAACTAATACGATATCTTCTCTTTTGAAAACCTCGCAATTTTAGTTGCTTTAGTTTTGGCCCCCAGTGTATATATAACTCATTTCCAAAATCATTTACAATCGTATAAAATTTAGACTAATAATAACATTTTATTTTTTTTTAATTTTTTATTAAAATAAAATGTATTAAACATGAAATTAATTATTTAACTCATGTATCTTATTCTCTTTATTTGATACAATAATTTAGATTTTAACGCTACACGTCGAAACCAAATATTTTCAAATACAAAACACCAAAATGACAAAGCTATCAGTACAACATAAATATAAAAAATCACAAGAGTATCTTCAAGTGCCATCGGCTCGAACACAACGATGCGACTATTGTCCAACAAACTTATCCGATTGAGTTGTAATGATTCGAGAAAAGCCAAAAATTTCCAATGATTTAAGAGACCGGTATCTTCCACTTGACCAATCATACGATTAATATCATCCTCGAAGGGGGAATTCGGTTGCATTGGAATCATTAAACCAATCATTTTGATGAAGCAAATATCCGATAGACGATATCGAGGTTTGGCAAAGAACTTCTGTTGTTCCTCGAATAACAACCATTGGATCGAAGGCACTGGATATACATATTTGGTGTCATAGCTATCACGCAAGCGTATGAATTCCTGATAGGTTGTTATACTCACGACTGGATTGTAAATATGATCTTGACCGAACTCTTTTAACATTTGATATTCATTGGTGTACATCAGTAGACGCATATCCGTTTTATATAAATCCTCAAGTGTTGTGATCAGTTTGTCCTTCGGCGAGAGGGAGTTGAACGTTTGCAAATACGTGGAATATGAGGTATTGATGATGATCCCGGCAATGCATGTCAACATGTAGACTGCACTACGAATGCCATGAAAATTCTGTTCCATTTTAAACGATTGACCCAAAAGGCCAGAAAATATATAAATATTAAAGGGATTCCAAGAAAATCTGCTACCCGAAGGACTTTCTTGCCAGATGGTCCATGAAATCACCAAGGAAAGCAACACCACTGTGACCGCAAGTAAAATGGTTACGGTTATATCGAAAACTTTGGCATAATACAAATAGGCGGGTATTGGTTTCTCCATGGGCACCATAATACACCAGTCCATGTAATCGAAAACGTTGCTATAGACTCGATCACTGTTGTATAGATTGTGTGACGGCTCGGAAGATATATCGAAGGTGCCATTGCTTAACATCTCCTCGAAATCGGTAATGAATGCTGTACTATCATCTATATTCGGAAACGTCATTGTAGCGTTATGTCGTCGTATAAACTCTTCCAGAAAGTGACCCACATAACCACCCAGAGAATAGGTATTGTTCACATGATTCATAATATAAAACTTCCTACTCTCTTTGTTAATACTCAGCCGCAGGGGATATCCATATAAATTATGAACTTGATCTTTGTAAAACACAAATTCCGTCAGCGATGTTGCCATTATCTGAATCATTTTAAATTCTGGATAAACATCCATGGTGTAGAATATATTTTCTAATGGCAACGATTCTTTGACACCCAAAATATTTACAGCTTTATTTTCGCGACAAAATTTTAAAATATCCTCTATGAATGAATCCTTGGCATTCTTTCGAAATATCAGCAATAATCGTGTTTTTACAGATTTTCGAAGAACTTTCCACAATGCCTCCAGCAATTTTTTGTCATCTCCCTCAATGCCACTCATTGGAATCAGGGCAAAATATTGCCGATTATAATAGGGCCACAGATATAACGAAGCGTTTCCTTTCAGCTGTAACATTGGAATTTCCAATTCTTTGGCTATTTTATCTACATCATACAAGTCCACTGTATTTCCAACCGATGACACTTCCGAATGACTTGCATAGATAATTGTATGATAGTATCGTTCTTCTCGGGCCAATCTCAAAATATTCACCAATGCCGATGCCAACTCATTTTGAACGGAACAAATATTGAGGAATCCGATGAGGTTTGTTACGTTCGACATTTGTCTTAACATTAGGAAGAACTTTTTGACAACGAATTGTATGAGTTTCCTTTTCTTCACCGTTATGGGAATAGGTCGGTCGTCTCTTTAGGGAATACTTGTTGTACTAATATGTGTGTTTATGTCATAAGGAAATCCAAAAAGGGTATATTATTAAAAACAAGGAAGTAGCAATTAAATGGCTAATAACCAAAGCGAAAGGTTAACGTAAAGAGGGAAGGGGTCCCGTCAATTGTATCGTAGACAATAGTGTTTATATTCTAAATAGTTGTTGTAATCAACAAAAAAAAAAAAATGTACGTGCATAGAAAACATTTGTTATTTACTCGTACATTAAGTACTCTGCACTATGTGCCAGAAATCCCATTTCCCTCATATTTAAAGGAGCGGAAATTATGAAATTAATAACACATATTAGGTGTCCGAGGAAGATGATGGAGATTCTGCAAAAAAAAAAAATCAAAATAGTTGTCTATCATTAATTAAATTTAAACCAGTAAGGAAAGCAGTAAAGTCGGACGGGGCCGACTACATGATACCCTTCACCACTTTGGGTATATTCAATAGATTAATTCTAACTGACATCTCATTTTAAATGAAATTGGATCCATAAACGTGTCATTCTGCAACCTATACTAAAGTTTTCATTTGTACAGATATAGAGTTTCTTCTTAAAATGGGACAAAATTATGTAAACCAATTTAAAGTAAATATCAATCGGACACCCGTTGATTATTTCGATAAATATCTGATAAACATGAGGAGTTTGGTGTATCATTTACTTAATATCGGGATAAAATATATATGGCAGCTCTATCCAAATTTGAACCGATTTCAACAAAAGTTTTCCAATGCTACGTTATATTAACTTTAGTATGTTGTCCAAAATGTTGTGTCAATCGGTCTAACGTTGGATCCATAGGAAATATTTATGGGAGCTATATCTATATGTTAACTGATTTTCACGAAACTTAACACACATCATTCTAGACTTTATTTGGTACGCTAAACCATATTTCGTGCAAATCCAAACATATATAGCGACTTTGGTACAACATCTACCTTAAATCTGACGAAAATATATATGGGAGCTATATCTAACTCTGAACACACATCATTCTAGACTTTATTCAGTACGCTATACCAAATTTCGTGCAAATCAAAAGACCTATAGGGACTTTGGTACACTATTTACCTTAAATAGGACGAAAATATATATGGGAGCTATATCTAATTCTGAACCGATTTCCACGAAACTTAACGCACATCATTCTAGACCTAATTCATTACTCTGTGCAAAATTTCGTGCAAATCGAGAGACACACAGGGAATTTGGTACACCATTTACCTTAACTCGGACGAAAATATATATGGGAGCTATATCCAAATCTGAACAGATTTTCAGGAAACTTGACACACATCATTCTAGACCTAATTCATTACGCTGAACCAAATTTCATGCAAATCGAAAGATATATAGGGACTTTGGTACACCAATTACCTTAAATCGGACAAAAATATATTTGGGAGCTATATCCAAATCTGAACCGAATTTCAGGAAACTTAACACACATCATTCTAGACATAATTCATTACGCTGTGCCAAATTTCGTGCAAATCGAAAGATATATATTCTGAACCGATATATAATCTGAACCGATTTTTCCCAATTTCAATAGGGTTCGTCCTTGGGCCAAATAAGTGACCTATGCCAAATTTCATCCAATTCGAATTATAAATGCAACCTGTACTTTGTTTACAATTTAAAATGGACAGACAGACGGACGGACATGCATACATCGACTTAGAAAGTGATTCGTTTCCTTTTGCCTGTTACAAACATATGCACAAAGACATAATACCGTGTACCACAGAGTGGTGAAGGGTATAAAAACCAAATAAATGGAAATCTAAAATAAGAAAATGGAAATCTAAAATAAGAAAAATATTTCATTCCTCAGTAGTATTTAAGAACAATATAACATGAAATCGTTGGTTTGTGTATAAAACTATGATATGCATTACTGTGGGGCCTACCCCGATACTCAACAGTTTGTGGTATAGGGATTTTACCCAATAATAATCCAAAATACTAGAATTTGGCAATAGAGTTCATGGAGCGGATCGATCTTTCTCGTTCCTTTTTAAAACTACCTATGAACTAGTTCCTTAACACTAGATTGCCGAAGGCGGTCATTTTGACCGTACTGTATATATATTGACACAGCTTTTTAAAATTTGGTGACTTTCTGTACCACATAGAACTACGTTTATTAATCATAGTAGCTGCTCCCTCCCCTCTTTCATTTCTAGTATTCATATGTGCTATACCTATATTGCCTAAAAACGGTCATTTTGACCTCATAGGGAATTTTAAATAATCAAATGACTTTTATTATTGAATAAAGTAAATTTCTTATATGACCAGATCAGTACAAAAACGTGAAAAACACTTTGTTACTCTGGATCCACAAAAGAACACACAAATCGTGAGCCTTCCCACCGCAAACAAACAATAACAACTTTTTATACAATCATATAAGTAATGTGAAAAATGTGAAAAAATAAGTTTAAAAAAATTTCTTTACACAATAAAAATTCTTTCAGAATGAGGTCATTTTGACCGCTTTTCGGCAATATAGGTATATACAAAATTCCAGTCTTTCTAGTGTTAATATATTTCCTTTGCTCCATATAGTTCCGACTCTTAAATAGTTCCTTTGAATCTCTCTTTCATCGTTCTCTTTGTTTTTCGCTCACATAATTTATTCGCTGATGAATGAAACTAAAGAAATTCAATTCAGAACTGGACCCAGTTTATATTGCTCCTTTATTGGATCAGTTTCAATGAACTAGTTTGTATAAAAATTTATAGGGTAAAACTGACTATTTCGAGTTACGACTATCCCCTAAACTATGGTAGAATACCCCTATATGGGGACAATCCCTACATAATCAGCAAACTATTGTAATAGAATATTAATAATTTTCGGTAGGAAGATTTGTTACCATATGTGACTACAAAATAGCAAATTACAGCGAATTCGGTTGAAAAATACGCTCAAGAACCCCAAAATACCGAAAATTGAGGGTGTCTTATATGGGGGCTAATCGAAAAAATGGTCCTATATTTATCATTCTTAGTGAAGAAATTTGGTACCCCATTGTATCAAATTTCAGCGAATGCGGTTTAAAAGCGCACATAAACTATAAAAGTGAATCGATATTTATAATTTGTAGTGGAGACATTTGGTACCCAAAAAGAATACAATGTAGCAAATTTCAATGAATTCGGTTTAAAACGCGCTCAAACCACCCCTCCCCCCTAAAATATTGAATATTAGGAGGTACCGTTATATGGGGGCTAACAGAAAAACTGGACCTATATTCATAACTTTTTGTGGAGACATTAAGTACCCAATAGGAATCCAATGTACCAAATTTCAGCGAATTCGGTTTAAAAACGCGCTTTAACCCCTCAAAATACCGTAAATTGGGGGGTACCGTGGACCGATATAGCCTATCTATGAACTTGACCGGCAGACAAAAGACGACTCTATGCAAAATGTTGGCGATCTATCTCAATTCCTCCGGCAGATAGCGTGATTACAACAGACGGACATGGGTAGATCGTCTTAGAATTTTTTTTATAGGGTCGGAAATGAATATTTCGATGAGTTACAAACGGAATGACAAATTTAATATACCCTCCATACTATGGTTTAGGGAATAAAAACGCAATAACGTCATTCTAGTCTCAATTTAATACGTTGTCCAAAATTTCGTATCAATTGGACAAACATTATTAGTTTGGTGCACTTAATTCAGTATGATATGCCAAATTTCGTGCAAATGGAATTATACACTGCGTATCATAACTATAGCCGCACCTTTAATTCAATTGGTATGTTAGTTGACAAATAAAATGGATCCATTAAGTTATGGTTCACAATAAAACGATCGCCGAATTCTGGACTTTCAAAATTACTAGTGTTGCATAACTATAGACGCACTTTCACCAAATTAGAAAAAAATTATTTTTTAAAACTTAAATAAAATAAAAAAACTTTTATAAATAATGGGTAGGTCCTCCCTTATTTTGAATAAGTTCAAAAATTTTATCCATCACACTGTTGATCAAAATTGTTTGCAAGTCTTCATCAATTGACCGCCATTCATCGATAATCACTTCTTGGAGGTAAAATACAGTTTGGTATTGGAGGATTCTGGTCGGAAATTTTAATATTTTTCGATTTTAACCATACTTGAGTATGCCGAATTTTATGAACTGATGCGTTGTCCTGCTAAAAAACGAGTACTTCATTGTTGCTGCTTTCCCAAAATGGCCATAATTTGTCTTCCAAGACTTCAACGTACTCCATTAAATTCATCCGACAACATGGAAATGTCATATAAAGCATTCCGTGGCTATAAAATGCTCCCAAGACCATTAAGGAACCGACACCGATATATCGTTTTAAGAAATATCGTGATTCAGTCCGTTTTATTAATTTCATTTTATTTGTCAACTAACATACTTACTACTTACTTACTTAGCTGGCTTGTTACAGAACGGTTGTTCCATAAGCCGAGCTTAAAAAAGATTTCCAAGCGCGTCGGTCTTGTGCGCATCTCCACCAATTTGAAAGTCCACGTTCCAAGATGTTGTTTTCTACTTGGTCTTTCCATCTAATTCGTGGCCTTCCCCTTCCACGGGAACTATCAGTAGGCTCATTTTTATATGCCTTTTAAGCTGGGGCATCTTCATTCATCATCAAACACCCCAAGAGCTGCCTCATCTGCTTGCGCAAGTACCCATGCTTCAGATCAAAATAATAACACGGGTAGTATCAGCGTCTTGTAAAGTGTGAGTTTGGTCTGGCGGGAGGTGGCTTTGTTTCTAAACTGCTTACTTAGACCATAGTAGCATCTGTTGGCCATCACAATCCTTCTCCGAATTTCAAAACTGATGTCATTTGTTTTATTTATGGCGGTACCAA